TATAATACTATATTACTGCATAACAATCATAAATTATATATTAACATACATGTCTAAATATTCTAAACTAAAATAATCGAAGTAATTCGTAAAATATATGTTGCACTCGTTCTACGGTTTTAAGGCATAGATGACTCTGAAAAATAATTAGGTGACGAAACGAGGAAAGTTTCTTCTGTGCTTTTATAGATGGCGTAGGGATTACAAATTACTGAAAACTACACTAGAGGGCGCTATCACCTAGGTTAAGTATTATTCAGTAATCAGTATTATTTCGTACATATTTCAATAAAATTAAAAGGAAATCAATTTAATTTAATTTAAATATTATGTAACTAATTTGTTTTAAGTAATTATTTATTATGTTTGTTTGAGAAAACCATGGTGTGAATTGCTTCATTCTACATACATTGCTTATTCTATATATTATATATTATATATATATATATATATATATATATATATATATATATATATATATATATATATATATACCGCCCTATTTCAAAACTTTTCTAGCATGATTTAGGCTTCGGTATAAATAATAAATACCCACAGTGGCGCCATCTTTTAATAGATTATGTAAAAATATCGGGAAAAATAGTACTTTTACTGTGAGATGGCACTAGTATCAACGTAAAGCAAGCTACTGAGGACATTCATACCCCTGATTTTAGGTTATGTTTCGGTTGTAACCCATTACTACTGATATCGATATTTAAAAACGGTTTTCAATAACGATATGAAAACTAAAAATCAGTTATGTAACCGTTGCAGCCAAAATCTGAAAACGCCCATGCTTAGTCCTATAGGATATATCTCCGTTAGTCGTAGTGACATCGTCAAAAAGTCAAGACGCATTCGTTTCATATATGTAAAAAATATTTTTAAAGAAAATATGCCCGGTTGTGCATTAAGATATTGTAAGTCACAATATGGAGCAAAAAATGAACATGATTTCAGTTTATTATCGTAAATATAACATATTTTTACCGAATAATCTTTAAATTTTATTATTTCTAGTAGATTGTTCTAGAACATTTATTTTTATTGTAATAAGCGCCCTCTGTTATCCAGTAAACGTCACTATTTAGTTACCAATGTTAAAGTTAGTGATTGACAACGATTGGGATTATCGATAAAAAATATACAGGATGCCGATTTAATCCTTTACAATATTTAAAGAGGTAAAACAGTCAACGATACTGTACCCATACCAACAAAAATGAGTAGCATATACCAACTATGCTAAGTAGCCTACTTTATGTAGAGCAAGGGTGGGAAATTTTTTTTAGGCATGCTCATGACATTTTCTGTGTTGCTTATGAGCATGCTGAGGATACTTGTTGCGTTGATGTTTAGCAATACAGCAAGTCTTCTCTTTTACATACCAGGCTTCATTGTCTGGTGGTTTTCAAGCACAAAGCCATTATAGATCCTCGCTTACAGTGATAGGAGAGGGCTATACGTTTCTTACATTAAAAACAATTTTTACTGTTAAAGATATTAGATGCAAGAAGTAGTAGGTTAAGTCTGAGTTAGAAAATAAGGTAAAAACTTAAAATAACAGTTTTTATTGATGTGGGTAGTGTCTTTACGTACTGCAGCTGATGAAACGTGAAAAATCGTGAAACGGCTTTTAAGTTCAGTGTTTTCCTAAAATATTTTAGATTTGAAGTGTATTTTTGTAATAGAAACGAATTTAAAAACATAGAGGCGCTCTCTTATTGGATTTGGCGTTTCTCGATATGTCTTTAATGCCGACCGATCAATCATATGCTATTATTATAGCAGCTAAGGGACCGAGTGACGTCATACAAGATGTCACTAAGGTGGCAACCAAAGTGACTGCTGTTTGAATTGATTCTAAGTTATTGGAAATTAATTATTTTGTTTCATGATACTAAAGAGGCGTAAAAAGTTAATATGAATTTTTCCTTTTGATGTGAGTCATGATAAAAAGATTTATACAATAAAACAATCATGTATTTTCTCTATTATTGTATCGCAAAGCATTTCTAACTTAGTAATCATCAACAACATTATCGATACTTTGATATCGAAACGGTAACATTCCTAAAACGACGTTATATTTATTAGCGTCACCTACTGGGGAATAGCTAAAATCTTGTCTTAATAAATGCTTAGCGTTGTTTTGCTATTTTTAGCTAGAGGTTGCTACACGCGCACTAGCTCAAAGTTTTTGTATATAAATGTTCCTAATGCCCGCTCTATAGTATACCTATATATTTAAATCTCTTTGGTTGCATTATTCTGGGAAGGCCTGTGTTCAGCGGGGGGGGGGGGCTACAATGATGACGATTGGTAAGATTTATATACTCATCAACTACTTCGATGTGTTCATTGCCCTGTTGGGTGCTAATCCGACTTTCATGTTGCATTCCATTGCTTTTTCTCGCCAGGGCTACTTTACTAGAATCTACTGAAAGAGTGGTCAGAGAGCATGCTGGTAGCATGCGCATCAATTTTTTTTTTTAAGTTATTTTTAGGAAGATGATGTTGCCCATTTTCTGTTTCAATAGCCATCTGTCGCCTCTTATAACACTAGTTAGTTGTTACCAGATTGTCTACTTGATCCTCCACAATTGCCTTAGCAGCTGATTTCTTCAGTTAGACGCTTAAGGCCATTTAATATTAACTTGTGTTTAATTGGCGACGATTCAGATGCTTTACAACACCCATGGTCACGAAGACTGAGCTGTTTAAGATTCTGATTAAATTCTAACATAAATCAATTATATCATAAATTCTTGATAGGAATCGGGTGTCCTTTTGTAAAAATTTGTGGTTTATCCAAATTTATGTAATATCTGGGAAAATCCAGGACTGGAGGCTGCAATCGGAAAAAATTACAGACTTCTCGGAGTGTATGGTTCACGTCAACTTTTATGCGGAGTTTATTGATCCTTTTGTTTGTCTTATGTAAGAGAGTCAACATTCACAATTAAGCTTGTGCACTCCGGCATCTTGTAGAGGAATATTTCACATGACATTTAGTAAAAACTGACAAACCTTCTATGGCGGCTTATTGTACATTATTATGGAAGCCTGCTTCAAGGTGTAGCCAATCTTGTTTGTGACCCTTCTTACATATTATGGCAGTACAGTAAACAGATAGACGCTCGAATGTGGCCAGTTTCACTTCTTAACATGTAATACTTACTTGATGTAATGGAGTCGGTGGTCAGGTATTTACTGTCACAAATTCCTTTTGGTTGTGTAACAAATCATTGTGTTGTTTGTGTTTCGTGAAATAAAAGTATTTTTATTTTAAAATTACCACCTGACGTTTACATAACAACCATACCATTTCCTATATCTGCATGGAAAATCATAAGCTCTAATTTGTTACATAATTTGATCAATGCTGTAATTTCGTCTTTAAAGAGATTTAATTTGCCGCTGTAATTCGATCTAACTTTGACAAAATTTATTGACTTATGGCATCGAAATCGTCACCACAAATATGATTTCAATATGTAATTCTTCGTACGTGGTCCTCACGGGGTAATTGCGAAATTCATGTTTCGAAATTAATTTTATCAATTCCAATTGATTCCTATTAAGGATGATTCATGAGCCTATGGAAATTAAAAATTAATCTTAATTTGAATAGAGCAATAACTGTGTGCCATGAATTGCTTGAGATTCCAAGATTTTTTTTAAAACAAAGAGGAAGTGGTAAGCATAATTTGTACTAGTGCTAATGTCGCCAAACTCACACGTAAGGAAAGAAATATATACCGATAATTGTCTATCATTTTAATTATTTCTAATAATTTTTGCGTTATTGGCTATAAAGAAATACTTTTTGTTACTCGTCATCAGCTTGAGTACAATCGTAAGATTTTAAAGAAATCATATTTCCTTAAATCTGAAAATTTCCAGGATTGATTGACAAGCAAAATCATATATATAATAACTTCATGCTATTATAGGCACAATGCTGATTGGCTATGCTGTACATACATAACCTGCTTTTCGAACAACTACATGACTTTTTTTCTATAGGATAGGGTGACGAACGAGCACATAGGCCACCTGATGGTAAGTGGTTGCTGTGACCCGTAGACATCTACATCTATCCTCAATAACAAATCAAAATGCAGATGCATTATCACTCGTGAGGACTAAGATGGAATGCCTCTTTTCCAGCAAAAAGGGTCTTCGGTTCTCTACACTCACCATACGAAACACGGCAGTGTTAAGCTGCTATTTTACGCTGGTATTCTGTGAGAGCGTGGTCCTTCCCCGGTCGAGCCGACCCATTCGTGCTACAACTATACTATTAATATTGTTGCAACATGGCTCTACCACGTGTAAACGTAATATTACAAGAACAATCTATCCTTTACGTAATCGTTATTACATTATGAAAATTAATAATTAAATATTGCAAAATTTATTCGAATTAATCTACCACGAATACCCCCATAATTGATATATTATATTCGTTTTTGCATTCCTTCATTGCATTATACGGCATATTTATTTATAAATCTATTAAGTAGCGACATGTCAGCTCGTGATTATATTGTCACTGCAACCTGCAACTGACAGTCAATGACGGCATCCACAACTTTTTCTGCCTCTAGGGGCGCGCCACTGAGTAGGGAATACATAGTCAACTATGATCATCTTTGTACCTTGGCATGTGAATGATTTGATGTAAATTGTATTATTTTGAAACTAAATCCTTCAGTTACGATTTTCCTATTTGGTCAAACCGCGAACTCACTTATTATGCTCATTAATCATTATCAAGAAAGCACACGTATTGTGACGGACAAGTACGGAACACTGCCTCTACATGTGCGTGGCTCGACACGCACTTGCCCATTTTTTTAGGTTATATAAAGAACATTTATTATGTTGATGCAATTTAAATGGCGATCAATTTGGTTTTACATCTGCTATTTATAAATATATTACTATTTAATTAAAATATTAAGGACACATTTTTATCTTAATTATTTTAGGATCTGTGACTGATTTAGTAAAATCAACTAAGGGCCAGTCACTGAAAGAAGAATGGATTTCCTACATTTGCAGAGAGATTTTAAGAGGTCTCAGCTATTTACATTCTAACAAAGTTATTCATCGAGATATAAAAGGACAGAATGTCTTACTTACTGATAATGCTGAAGTAAAACTTGGTAAGATAAATCATACTTATTATTTTAAATATATTATATATGTACTAGATAGTACTTCCAGTAAGTCCTAACTTATTTATTGCTTTGTTTTCTTTTAATAGTTGATTTTGGTGTATCAGCACAACTAGACAGAACTATTGGTAGGAGAAACACATTTATTGGTACACCATATTGGATGGCACCTGAAGTAATTGCATGTGATGAGAACCCTGATGCCACATATGACAACCGCTCTGACCTCTGGTCTCTTGGTATCACTGCACTTGAGATGGCTGAAAGTCAACCACCTCTTTGTGATCTTCATCCTATGAGAGCACTTTTCCTTATTCCAAGGTATTTTCATTGACACTTCTTTAATTGTGGTTTAATTTATAGCTCATATAAAACACAATTTTTTATTACCACTATCGCCTTTATTAATGTTTTTGCTGCAAAATTTCAGGAACCCGCCGCCCCGTTTAAAATCTAAAAAATGGGCAAAGAAGTTTCACAGTTTTATTGAAACTGTGCTTGTGAAAGATTATCATCAACGACCCTACACTGAACAACTTCTAAAGCATCCTTTTATAAGGTACAACAATGTGCATCTGTTGTATTTCCAAATATCGATATCTAATAAATTTAATTAATAACAGGACCACTATATAGTAATACGAGTATATACAGTCGGTTCTCGATAATTTGGAACTCAAGGGACCAGAAAAAAATTTCAAATTACCAAGAGTTCAAAATAACAGGAGTTATCTGAAACCAAGAAGGAGGGAGGAAAAAATCTAGTAAACAAGAGTTTGATCAAAATTAGTTATTTATTATTTTAAACATTTGTACAATTAGTCACAAATGTTCATTTTGAAAAGAAGTCTCATTTATGTAAACAATCGACAGGCCTGTACATGTATGTAAACAAACGACAGGTCTGTGGATGATAAACGCTTCAAATTATCGAGAGTAGGAAAGCCCAGAGTTCAAATTATTGGATGTTGATGGGCAAGATACTATTCCTTCAACTTAAAATTACCGAGGGGACCAATTAATATTGATTTTATCCAATTTATCGAGTATTTTTCAAGGGATCGGGAAAAGATTTCAAATTAGCTTACTTACTTACTTATCTTCACGCACAATCCCTAACGGGGTAGCCAGAGAGAACAGATCCTTACAAACCTCTTTCTTTTTTTCCTCTTTCAAATTAGCGAGTGTCATATTATCGAGAGTCGACTGTAGTATATAAAATATAATATGTTTAAGTAAATAACAAATAGTGGAAAAATGTTTTGTTGTTGCGTAATTATTTCATTTTTCAGGGATCAACCAACAGAAAGACAAGTTAGAATACAACTTAAAGATCACATAGATAGGTGTAAAAAGAGAAAACAAGACAACTCAGTGAGAGAGGAGTACAAATATTCAGGTTCAGAAGGTGAAGAAGAAGACAATGCGGTAGCAGGTGAACCATCTTCTATTGTGCATAATGCCGCTGCACATCAGACTAGTGATACATTAAGACGTAACTTCCAACAAATACAAGAAGGAAGGTTAGTAGAAACTTCTTTTACGGGGTTGATACTATTAAGTTAACCACATGGAACTGTTTTATATTAAAATAATAATTTTCCACAAATCTTAGTGCTGGTGCAGAAGGTCAACCGCAACCTCCACCTAAGAGAAACAGTAAACGCGAGGAGCGAGAGGAAATTCCGGGTAACGTAACACTAACATTTTAATTATAAATTATACTCATATTATGTATTATTTCTCAACCTAGTATAGCATTTAATTGCCATGAACCACATACAAATTATGAATTCGTAAACAAATAAGTTGCAGTCATACATTACATGACTTAGGACTTTTAACTTGATATGTGTCGAATCAAATTAATCTATAAATAAGTTGGCAAGGGATGCCTTAGAACGAAATTAAAGGTACCTTTTATCAGTGAGCATGTTTGCCTAGATATATAGATGTGAAAGGAGCAAGAGAGGTGTGTTAGAACTGTATCAAATGGAAGTCCATAGTCTCCACCTCCCTTGGTGACAGGGGTAAGAGTTATGTTTATGTCTCAACATATAATTTGTTGGTTTTTGGTATACCTAGTAAATTTATAAGCAAGTTGTAAAATATTTCATGAAATGTTTACTAATTAGTAATAGTAATATAATGAGTTCTTATATCTACGCGAACACTACACTTTGAATAAAACTACTTTTACGGATTCTATCGCGTTTAATTAACTTATTTTTATTAATTCATATTCATTCAATATTCCTCTACAAGATGCAGGAGTGTACAGCCTTGATTGTGAATTTGGTCTTCTTATATACAGGGCATACAAAACGATCTACCAAAACCCGCGTAAAAGAACACATAGCTGACCATGGGTGCTCTAAAGCAACCGAAACGTCGGGAATTGATAAAAATAAGTTAATTAAACTTAGAATCCGTAAAAGTAGTTTTAGTAATAGTAATCTTAATTACTGAAATGTTTCACATTTAGCGATACTTGGTTGAGAAATTATACTGTGATTATATTATTATTTTATTACAAATAGCATTAATTAATTCACTGTTATTTTTTGCTGCAATAGAACCTGGCCCACCCGCAAGGCCATCCATTCCACAAAGACTGATTGTTGTGCCAGACCCACAGGCACAACAGCCTAATAGATATAGGTAAACATTTTATCTTTACACATTGTTGAGTCTGTCATTAAAAATAACATTTACTACATAAATAACTACCGATAAACATTGCTGACTTTAACATTGTTATAAGACAAGTTTATAAAAATGTTAATATTGGTAACATAAACATGCATTGGTTTTATGTAAGAGTATGATATGACATTTGAAAAAACCAAGATCATTCAGTTCTTTAATACAGGCTTTGATGATATAACTGTTTTGTTTGATATTGATATAAGCCAAACGACGTGATTTTGAATGTATTGATTTTTTTTTGTACTTACTACTTATTTTAATGTTTTAAATAATATGTAGCTTATTAATTTCGCTAGACACATTTTCCCCCAATTAATTTTGGCCTCTTTTTTTCTACCGATTTCGATGATTCTTTTTTTATTTGAAAGCTGGTGCTTCTCATGTGGTCCCATATAAATTTGATCTGGGTCTGACCAATAGTTTTTGAGTTATTCTTAATAATTTATATTATTGGAGTTGGTTGTATAAAATTTTAATTTTAAATTATTTGGTAAAAGATGTATTTATTTCACATTTATAGACTTCAAAAACAAAGTGTTATAAAAACTGTCAATATATGGATGCAGCAGTAATATGTGCCAGCTTAAATACTCTACAATTTCATGGGTTCCATGCTTTTAAAAGAAACAGAATCCCTTTTTAGTCACAGATACATATAATTTTTGTGATAAAATTCCATATCTTAATAACTTTTGTCTTGCTAATTATCCAATGGCTGTGCATCCATTGAGATATTATAAAGAATTTTATATATTTAAACCTGTTATTTCTCACCCTTCTTAAAAAAAAAAGAGACATGCAAATAATTTGGGAAATACGTATTTAAAGCAATGATTTAGTACATTATTAGTTTTGGTCAGTTTAATAATTATAATAAAAACACTAACCACAGGCCTCTCCCTCCCACACCCAAATCGTCGGGCTCATCGAACAGCTCAGGCTCCAACAACGGCACTCCCCCCGCCAGTGGTCCGCAACCGCCGCAGCGTGGTTCACATCACATGTTCAAACCCATGGTACATAGTTCTTTTATTACGTTATCGGCATATTTTTTTATGTGAAAGTTTATAGTAGTAATATTATTAAATATAATAAGTCTTGTCCGCAGCAATTTCTTAGTATATCTAATACGTATTAATAAAAAGGTGAAGCTATATATTATTTAATTTCATTCACGTATAATTTATTATGAGAACCAGTTTTCGCATTTGACACTTTCTGATTCTAACAATAACAACTTCAGTGCTCGCCATGCGTAAAGAAAATGAGTTGAATATATCAGACTCACAACCCACATAAACGAAATAAAAAAAGCAATAATTAGAAAAGAAATTCTGCAATAGAGAAATAAGAAGAAAACATGTGTAGAATCCATAAACTTATTTTTGACGAATTGACGATAAAAACCAGTGTGTTAATATCAAAACGCCCTACCGTAACACATACTTTTTAGGAAATTGATGTGGCAAACAAACTTACAGTCCACATGTTGGTTATTGCCTACAGCAGCCCATGAACACCTGCAAGATGCTTTAAACCATGATGGCTACAGTTGTGTTGTCACCTCTGAGGACTTAGATGGAATGCCTAAAAGCCTGTAATTGTACTAAGCCCTATACCTTCCAGTCAGAATGACAGTAGTGCCACATACTGCCGTAAGGCGGCAGAAATAGAGGGTGGGTCGTACTTAGACTGGACTCCTAGACGGAAAGGAGTCCTACCTAACCTAGAACACCATATCACCTTTGAATGACTAAAAACGGACCCCTAACTAATAATTTCATCATATGGAACTATTATTGTGGTCATTAAATGTTTTAGTAAACATTTTTAATTCATAGAAAATAATATTACTAGTATAAATTATGGATTTGTTGATCGTGCTGTTTATTTTTGTAAAAGTTTTGCTTTATTTGTTTTGTTTATTTTCATGTCACGCTGTTAACTTTCTTTGCACATCCAAAATAAACTTCTGCTGCAGCTTCCTCCGCGAAGACCAGAGGTTTGTAGATTCTTGTTTATCTGCATGTTACTTTTATATTATTTTAATAATAGGTTATTCAAGATTCATTTTTTACAATTTCTTTATTTTATATTTATGTAAGATTTAACTATTTCTATTCAATGCCAAAAATGTAACATATTTTTTTATTTATTTAAAATCACTCATTTGTAAATTCCAGGACTTGGACAAACTGGCTGCGCAGCTTAACGAACTCGGCGTTGTATCGGGTAATGAACCACCGAATCGGCCGCCACGGGCGCCTACCAATGGCCAAGGTATAAAATGTCTAAAACGAATTCAACCATAGCTTTTTATATCAACTAAAATGAGTTAGGTCGAAGAAAAAATTAATTGATGTTGTTAATCTTATTTTTCTTAAAGACTGTAATTTTAATTAAAACACTAATTATTAAGCTGAACGCACATTTGTCCGCACCGTACGCGCCGAATTTTACTGATGGCCTCGCACATTTGCCCGTACACAAATCTTTTGTATTGCCAACAACTTTTGCAGTTTTTTCCAACCACTGATGTGAAACGGTACATTGACATTGATCGTTCGAAATCAATATGGGAAAAAATATAGTAATAGCCTGCTTAGGAAAAAGAAAATAAAATTCGAAGAAAAAGAAGATTTTGGATTCATAATATTAATTTAAAAAGGCAACTGTATTGAGAATATTTTTTATTTAAATACTTATTAGATGGTGATAAACTATTTTTAAGATATTTGCATTTAACATACAAGAAATTTCAAGAATTGCTAAATATACTAAAACCATATCTTTCTAATGAAAACTCAAGATTTAGAAGGCCAATTGAATCAGAGAATTTTTTTTATTGATAATTAATTTAACTTTTGAATTAAATTTTACTTTTTTTTTAGTTCACTATTTAAATAATTTATCACTAAGTATTCATGCAAAAAATATTCAAATTACGATCACAAGTTTACACAATCACTAATAACACAAATAAAAGCGTCCGTATCGCAAGAGATGTAAACGTACCTACTAGATTAGAAAACGAAAACAAAACAAAGCGTCTTTTTCGCGGAAAAGTTCACAAAAATATTGGTCGACGTAATTATGCACAGTATTGTGAAGAACTGTGTCAAGGACACGAATGCGGCTAGCACTAGAAAAGAAAAAAAAGAATTCTTTTTCGGTGCAGCGGGGTGGGAGGATACGCGTCGCCTGCGCCTCCCGCTCGCCGACAAAGGGATGTCTCTTTCCTTCAACAGTATTGCTTATTCGTTTTAATTTCAATGATGCGATCTTATTATCCGTGACCCCGTCAAATGACCGCTGCGCGACAGTTCTCTAAGTACAGGTTGCCCTAACGGTGCGTACACATTATATAACATAACATGTTATAAAACGTAATGTGGAGGTTCAATGTTATAAAACGTGTTATATAACGTGACACAAATGTTATACAACTCGAACGGCAGAACGACAAACGACAATGTCATATAACGTTGTTATATTGCATTGTTATTCTAATTTGTGTACATTATTGTTATGTTACAATGTTGAAAAACAATGTTATATAATGTGGACGAGTTATAAAACAAAAGTGATACAACATGCTACTTGATCTGTATGCACCCTAAGATGCTATTTTCTAAAATTTTAAATAAATCCGTTAATAATAACGTTTAATGGAAATATAATTTCTTCATGAAACGAAAATGTGAAAACGTATATGTGTGTTAAAGTCACCATTGTTGCTGCACGTTGTATGTATTAAAATATGTAAGAAGTAAAATTTTAATTTACTATGAATGATTTCCAAATAATGAAATATTCGAATGTGCCTAACGGCGCAGATAACACTTGATCGTAAGTCGATCGTGTTTCTCGATTCGAACTGTTTCAGGTATAATATTTTAAAATCAATTTAAAAAAAGTCAGTTTGAATCAAAAACAGAATCTAATTCGAACAATTCCAGAAGTAAGCCCTCAGGTCTTTTCTGTTGGTGACGTAAATTCTAGAAAGTTCTTATGCCTTCCAGTAAATGGCGAAAATATAAAAAGTTGGATTAGCCCCATCTAATAACCCTAGGCTCGCCGCGGTTCTCTTTGACTTTGAAAAGGTCTACGTCAAAGTGGACAGGATTGCTTTATAGCAAAAGCTGGCCTCATTTGAGTTCAGCGCTGGGCTGATACAGGCATTAAAATCTCTTAATAAGGACTCGTGATTGCATCAGCATTAACAAGGCGTACACAGAGTTTTTTGGCATCCATTAAGGTGTCAGACGGGATAGTTTAGCTTCCCCGTGGTTGTTCAATCAGTTTATGGACAGCTTTTGGAATTTTTTTACGTGGTAGAACCACGCAGCAGCTATATTGTGGTTGTAGCACGAATGTGTCGCCTCGATCGGGGTAGACCATGCTCTCACAGAATACCAGCTTAAAATAGCAGCTTAATACTGCTCTTTGTCGTATGGTGAGTGTAGAGAACCGGAGACCCTTTCTACTGGAAACGAGACATTTCATCTTATATCTCAAGGGTGACAACGCATCTGCATTTTGATACTTAATTGAAGATAATTGTAGATGTCTATGGGTCACAGCATCCACTTACGATCAGGTGGACTGTGTGCTCTTTTGTTACCCATATTCCATTTTAAATTTTTAAAGTCATGGCACATGAGACATTTATCAAGAAGTATCAAATTATGATTACATAAATGACCGTGCCTTAAAAGAAAGAGGAATAAAAGTGAATGGAAGCAAGAAGTAAATAAAATGATATGTGTAACAAATCAGAGGAAAAATATTGCATCTTCTTCTATATGGTTATACCACCTACTGCCTAATTTATACTATTCCTAAATGCTGTAGTTAGAAATAATTTACTTCATCATTATCACAAGTCTACTGCTGAACATAGGCCTATAGATTGTCACAATGTACAATCCTGGGCCACCTGCATTCATCAACTACCTGCGTGTTTTGTGAGGTCGCCACTCCATCTAGTGGGAAGGCCGTTCTCTTCTCTTCATGGTTCGATACGATACTCATTGGTTGCCGGTTCTTCGAGCAATATGTATATATTATAAAGTGGCCCATTGCCACTTTAGCTTACTAATCCGTTGAGCTGTACCAGTAACACTTGTTCTGTGGATATCTTCGTTACTATTTTGTCCCGCAGAGAAATTCCGAGCATAGCCCTGTCCATCGCGCGCTGAGTGAATGACTACATCAATTACAGCTTATAAACAAACTATTGCTGAACATAGGCCATAGAAGACTAATAGACAATCGTGTAAATGGTCTGAAATAGTTTACTAAACGATTTTATTTCATTTAGGACCACCATTGGAGAGAAATCCTCCGGAGCCGCCATTTGAAGACTCTGACAGCGATTCTGACGCAGAAGAAAGCGGGGGAAGAGTTCGCAATGATGGTACTCTGCTTGCCAGTGATCCCCCCAAACCACTGTAAGTTTACCATTATCCTCTAATGAAATTTTATTTAAAACTCACTATCATTACAAATACTTAATTGGGTTAGTTTATGAAAGTTAGTAGAAGAAAGTAGCTTAATTAACCCTAAGATATATTTCAACTAAGACATGAAAGTGCTAGAATTAGTTTTTGATATCTTCAGAACATTAAGAATGTAGTGCACAAACCACTCATTATTATGAGCAAATTTTTCAGTCCATATCAACCATAGCCTATTAAGGTTTAGTTCTTTCTTAATTTTCTTATTTTTATTAATTACATAATTAAAAAATTGTCCAATGATCTATAAAAACTGTTCTACCTATTGCCCGAGGAGGCAGTGGAGGCAATTCAGTTGTGGACTTGTTTTCTCTCCCAGTTGGATGTTGAACACCACAGTTTCGCTAGCCGGCGGTCGCATGAATATGATCTCAATATACATAAATGTTTAATTAAACATTGTTTACATTCATATTAAATAGGCTTGGAAAGATTATACACTATACATAATTATTTATTATCATCATTATAGTCCATCGCAAGACCACCGCTGGATATGCCTCCCTTAAAGATTGCCACAAATAAGCATTATCTTGAACTACCTGTATTTCATAAACTCATTAAGTGTGATAGAGCTATGCTGCACCTATATTAATTGTATAGTTGTAGCACAAATGGGTCGGCTTGACCGGGGAAGGACCACACTCTCACAGAATACCAACGTAAAATAGCAGCTTAACGCTACTGTGTTTCGTATGATGAGTGTAGAGACCCAGAGACCCTTTATGCTGGAAAAGAGGCATTCCATCTTAGTCCTCACGGCTGACAACGCATCTGCATTTTGATTCGCAAACTAAGATAGATGTAGATGTCTATGAGCCACGGCAACCATTTACCATCAGGTGCACTGTGTGGTCGCTTGTCACACTTATCCTATAAAAAAGCTCCATGTGCTCGTTGTCTTCTACATTATATGTAGTAGCGACGGTGTGCGATGATTGTGTACTAATATCGGCCTGATTATTTAATAGCAACAGTTCTTTACCAACGATTAACATAATGTTAGCAATCTGTCTAATGTAAACAAATTTCGTTTCGATTTTTCTTTGCTGGTTATTTTGGTTTACCCTGACTCCACGGGTTATTTTGTACCCCCGTCCCCACTCCGTTCCCCGGCTTGGTTTGGTTTGGTTTGGCTTGTGAGGCCGGAGTTCTGCTACAGGCCGGGGCTGGCGGCGGTGTCGGAGGACGGCGCGGCGGCGGGCGGCGCGCCCACGCGGCCGCTGCCGCCCACGCCCGACGACGACGACGCGCACCCCGACCGCACGCTCGTCATGAAGCGGGTCAGTACGCACAACCACTACATACAACCCCGTCGCATTGTACCGCAATCCGCTCGAACATTACTACACGCTATTCACTAAATACCAATCGTTCATGCAGCATTTGATAACGCTCTGTGAGACATCCAAATTGTTATAAAAATCATTTCTGCATACAATTTAAACAAAATTAAGCTTTGCATTATAGATAAAACGTCATAGATTAGACTTTCGATAATTGTTTGTATAAGTCATATTTATAATTTGTAGTACTGTAACTTTTTATAATACTTTGTTAATATTCATTACAGTTTTATGCAGAACCAAGTGTGATGAAAATTTTCTAAAATATTGAACAAAAACAATTTTGTTTACAATGTTTTACCGGATACGTGTAGGGGGTTGCATTACTTTAATCTACCTGAGTATAATATCTCAATGGGAAATCAAAGAACCTTTTAAACTAAATTTTAATCAATTAAATCGCTTCGTATTAAGTCGCGTGTAACATATTTCAGCAAATTATAAATATTCTTATATTATATAAATATCACTATCTTCCTGCATTAGGAATAAAACTTACTTTAAAAACTCATTCGGACGCCAATTTGTTATATCACTCAGCGCGACACTTACTGTTGATTACCTAGATAGTAGCTGTTTGCGGTACAATGTAAATTAGCCATTCTGTGTTCATACCCCATGTTCATTTAGTAAACTATGTTTGAAATACACGTCCGAAACTACTACCTAAGATAATTTTTGTACAGATTATATTTCCAAGTGTAGGCAGAAAACTACATATATATAGTTTTGTTAATTCTATACAAGAAAACGATCTTTAAAATATCTTCTCTTAAGGCTCTCGGTTTTAAATTACGTAATCTCTGAGGCCATTGTATTCAGTGAAACCTTATACCGGGTATTAGTGAAACGATCCCGAATAAATCGATACAAGAAAACGATCTTTAAAATATCTTTTATTAAGGCTCTCGGTTTTAAATTACGATGAAAATTAATATGATATCGGTCTGATATCCTGACAAATTGCAATAAGCATTTATACTTTAAAAATTGCGTGGTAATCGCTGAGACCATTGTATTCAGTGAAACCTTATACCGGGTATTAGTGAAACGCTTCCGAAAACGAAGACAGACGATAGTACTAACGCGATACCTTTGATGATGTGTCAGAAAGAAATTCGATCCCGAGGAAAAAAATCATCTTTTCAACAACGTTTTATTAACTTTATTCACGCTCCATCATGTTAGTACAGCTAAATGAAACGATAATTTCATAAACAAAATCATGAAAATACTTAAACATAAAACAAATTATTAAAAATTACTTGCAAGTTTTATAGTGATTGTCGCCTCTAATTCTTATGCCTCCTCTACGCTACTCGCAAAGTAATCGATCGCAGTCCGAAGAAAGTGACTACACACTCGTGCTACTTCGCGAAGAGCTCAGTCGTCTTGAGTCTCCCGCACCCTTAACATGAATAACTTTCAAGAGGCAATTGCTATAGGTACCTAATTGTGTGAACAGTACAACGTCAATAACTAAATAAATAAATCGTACCTAAATAAATAAATATGTAGAAAGCTACATATTTAATATTTATATATATATATATTTAAAAAAAATCATAACTAGCGTAAGCCGAGTAGTGTGTTCGTATAACTTCGGGGTAATTCGCGAAGTCCTTTAACTCTGGCGCAAAAGACCGACAGCGATCGGAAGTCGCCCGAGGCGAAGCGAGGTTGCAAGAAGCGAACCGAATTACCTCTCTACACTATTAGCCTCGTCCCAGTTCGATCTACTTCGCGAGTAGTATAGAGGAGGCATTATGTCGCCGGCAAACAAATCTTAGTAGATAAATTTCGGTGCAACATGGCAGCGTTGCCAACACCAATTTGTCAAATTCCCTGAAAATTCATCTCAAATTCCCCAATTTAAGGACAAAACTTCAACAGATCCCCCACAAATTCCCTTCAATTATATTTTAACAAATAAACTAACATTTTTTTTTCTTTAAAATTAAAAATAAAGAAATGAAAAGCATTAAATGATACACAAAAGTTGTTTGATATAAATCCGAAAATTAAATGTGGTGCAATGAAGATTATTAAAAAAGGGAGTCATTCGATATTCATAAGTAACCTAACAAAATGTTAAAATAAGTATTTAGATTTCTTGAAAAAAGGTTCTGACTTGGCCCTGGATATCGATTTTCAAAATCACCATATTTTCCCCGCATAATACCAATCCCCATAAAATCCCCAACCAACTTTAAATTCCCCGCAATTTTGGGAAATCCTTACATGTTGGCAAAGCTGACATGTGTAAATTCCACGGCGCAAGGCGACACGAGCCGGCCGGGCGGCGGTATGTAGTGTAGTAGAATGAGTGAGTAGGCATTGTTTCGCACCGAGCTAGATAAGAGTTCGGCGTCCGCGAGAATATTGACCCTATTGTCAGCTGATTTTATTTTAAGTTTCACTGCTGGTATTATGTTTAGTATTTTCATGATTTTCTTTTTCCGACTCGACCTGGCAACATACAACGCACGCACCCTGAGAACTGACGAGAAGATCGTGGAACTGGAAGAAGAGATAGGCAAGTTACGCTGGCATATTATAGGATTATCCGACGTCCGAAGAGAGGGGGAGGACACGGTAATCCTCGAATCCGGCAACTTGCTCTATCACCGGGAGGGCAACCATCTGTCCCAAGGAGGTGTCGGATTTATCGTCCACAAGTCTCTCGTTAACAACGTTGTAAAGATTGAGAGTGTGTCGACGAGGGTTACGTATCTTATACTCAGAATCACCATACTTATTCGCTGAAGGTCATACAGGTTTACGCATCAACTTCGGCACATCCCGGTGAGGAGGTGGAGGAAATGTATGAGGATATCTCTAGAGCCATGCATTCCTCCAAAACCGACTATACGGTGTTAATGAGAGACTTCAATGCAAAACTAGGCACAGGAGAGAATGGTAAGCTGAAAGTAGGGCAATTTGAAATAGGGCAACGGAACCCAAGGGGTCAGCAGCTGGCCGACTTCATGGAGAAAGAGGGACTCTTTATGATGAACTCCTCCAGAAGCGGCCCCACAGGAAGTGGTCCTGGTCCAGCCCCGACAGTTCGACAAAAAACGAGATTGACTTCATTATGACGACCAGAAGATAACTGTTCAGTGATGTCTCCGTCATCGCGAGGGTGAAAACTGGTAGTGATCACCAAATGGTTAGAGGCACACTGAACCTTAACGTTAAGTTGGAGAGGTCTCGTCTAATGAAGCCAACGATCCGTCCCCCTCATACTCTGTTTCAAAGTCCCGAAACCTTCAGCCTAGAAGACTGCAATGAAGTGGACGATATAAATGACAAGCTCGTGGAAACTGTCCATGCGGTCGGAGCTAAGTTCTGCAAGACACGCCGCAAAAGAACACAAAAACTCTCCGATCACACTCTTAATCTCATGGCTGTTAGACGGGAGATGAAGCTACGTTCTTCAACAGATTTGACAGAATACAGGCAACTGAACAGACAGATCTCCAAATGCATGCGGCGGGACTTACGCAACTTTAATACAGCTTGTATTGAAGAAGCGATCGAGTGGAACCAAGGCTCCAAAGTCTTGCCAGAGATCTGTCTGCCAGAAAGAGCCAACTGTCGAAGCTGAAGACCGAGTGTGGCAGCGTCGTTTCCGGAGCAACTGAGATTTTGAGTGAGATTAAGAGGTTCTATGGGCAGCTGTACACGTCATCGTTGGAGCCACACGCAAGTGTGAGTAACGATTCAAGAGCGAGTCTTATCCGACACTATTCCGAAGATATCCCGAACGTCAGACTGAGCGAGGATGGAATTACGCGGAGCTTTTGAAAGCGGGTGGAAAACCGGTACTTGAAGTCCTTCAGAAGCTCTTTAATTCCGTCCTCCATGGTGGCACTACTCCGGAGGCGTGCAGCAGAAGTGCGGTGGTCTTGTTCTTCAAGAAAAGCGACAACGGTTTCTTGAAGAACTACAGACCGATTTCCCTTCTTAGCCGCGTCTACGTGCTGTTTTCGAGAGCCATTACGAATCGTCTCGCACGCAGACTTGACGACTTCCAGCCTCCCGAACAAGCTGGTTTCCGAAAAGACTTTAGTACCATGGACCACATACACACCCTTCGGCAAATTGTACAGAAGACGGAGGAGTATAATCGGCCACTTTGCCTTTGACTATGGGAAAGCCTTTGATTCCGTCGAAATTTGGGCGGCGCTGCAGTCCCTTCAGCGGTGCCAAGTTAACTGTCGGTATATCGAAGTGCTGAAGTGTTTGTACAGTAGAGCTATGATGGCTATCCGAGTACAGAACCAGAGTACGAAACCTATCCATCTGCAGAGAGGTGTAAGACAGGGTGACGTTATATCCTCGAAACTCTTCACCGCTGCATTGGAAGACGTTTTCAAGCTTCTGGACTGGAAAGTATCAATGGCGAGTACATCACTCACCTTCGATTTGCCGACGATATAGTCCTTATGGCTGAATCGCTGGAGGATCTAAGCACCTTGCTCAATGACCTCAATAGTGTCTCCCAACGGATAGGTCTTAAGATGAACATGGACAAAACAAAAATCACGTTTAACGTCCATGTCACACCTATGCCGGTAGTTGTTGGGAGCACTAAGCTCGAAGTTGTTGACGAATATGTTTACTTGGGACAAATAGTCTGACTAGGTAAGTCCAACTTCGACCGAGAGGTCAATCGACGGATTCAACTCGGCTGAGCAGCGTTCGGGAAACTACGACACATCTTCTCTTTAGACATACCTCAAAACCTTAAAACGAAATTGTACAACCAGTGCGTGTTGCCAGTGATGACTTACGGATCTGAGACATGGTCCTTCACTGTTGGCCATATGAAGAAGCTCAAGGTCGCTCAGCGATCTACGGAAAGAGCTATGCTCGGGGTTTCTCTGCGTGATAAACTTACAAATGAGGATATCCGCAGTAGAACCAGAGCAACCGACATAGCCCAACGGATTAGTAAGCTGAAGTGGCAGTGGGCCGGCCATATAGCTCGAAGAACCGACAACCGATGGGGAAGAAAGGTTCTCGAGTGGCAGCCTCGTACCGGTAGGTGAAGTATAGGGTGATCCCCCACTAGATATAGTGACGACCTGGTAAGACATGCAGGAAGTCGATGGATGCAAGTGGCTCAGGACCGTGCTTTGTGGCATTCCTTGGGGGAGGCCTATGTTCAGCATTGGACTTATGAAAGGCTGTAATGATGATGATGATTTTCTTATGAAATTATCGTTTCATTTAGCTGTACTAACATGATGGAGCGTGAATAAAGTTAATAAAACGTTGTGAAAATATGTTTTTTGTCCTCGGGATCGATTTTGTTTCTGACACATCATCAAAGGTATCGTTAGTACTATCGTCTGTCTTCGTTTTCGGAAGCGTTTCACTAACAACTGGTATTTGCATGCACTTGAATTACAAAAATTAACATGTACTACAATGCAACGAACAAATTGTTAACCATGACTCCTAGTTGTTTAAATAACATAATATTTTCCATAACCAATATTCGGATTAGTGTCTAACAATCCTTTTCCAGTTACACTAACGAAATTTTAGCCAGTTACAAGATAATACCATACATCCCTTCATACTGCTATGGTAGAGTTTCTGTACTTTTCTAGATACCCATATTTGTAATTATAAAATTTAATTACCTTTTAAATATAAAAATATTAAAAGTTGAAAGTAATAAATTATGACAGATTGCTTAAACTCATAACAAGCGTTGAAATGTAATTCTATCTTACGCAAAAATGTCCGCCAAGAGCTTGAACCACCTGTTAAATAATATTAAACTAAATTAAAAAAAAAGGTGTGTTTTAATTATTATCGGTTGCGTGTATTTTTACATAGTTTCAGTCACATCTCTTACTAGTATACTATTTTCTATATTGTGTTAAGATTTAGAGGAACTTATTATTTGCCAATAAAACTGTCATACAGATTTTTTTCACGCCAAAGTAAGATTAGTGAGCAAAATCTACATTGAACTCAGTTTTGTTTTCTTTCATTTAAATTATGCCTTATTATTTATGTGTATTTTTGCATCGGTTTTATATGACAAACGACAGAAGGAGATCGCTGAAAGCGATAAAAGGCAATCCTACGTTGACGAGGCTGTTCTGCTGAAGGATTGGGACTTCGCTAGATTTTTTCCTTCAAAGTCCATGGAAAAAGAGGAAAAACAAGACATGTCAAAGGAGACTGAACAAAAGCGAGCGCAACTGCAGCGTCAGTCCAGAATCGAAATGGACGACGCTTGGGTGAAATATAAGGCTATCGCGACACCGCCTTCTCGCCACAAGCAAATAGTTCACAAACCCAACGAGAAATCACCTCAAGAGAAACTTTCAGATATGCTTAAATATAAAAAGGAACAGGAGTCGGAGTTAAACTCTCCAAACCGATTCTTTAGAGGGTTCCGCCGGGAAAATTCCGATCTTTTTCCGTTACCAAGCACACGTCATTCTGCTATTTACTTCCCGAAGCATGAAAATCAAGTAGGAGGGAACAAACAGTTAAGATCTAGCGGTATTTTCAATCCTTCGCGTAAGCAAATTACGAAGCCTGCTACTTCGGGAGAGCCGATACTAACAGACTTCATAAAAATGAATGACAGTCTCAAGATATCGCAAGTGGAAAACAAAAAGAATGCGGCTAAAAAATCAGCCAACAATCCTATAGAGGCGTTAAAAAATGTCGCAATTCTGATTAGGCAAGAAAGCGAAAACAATGGTGCGAGTCGCCAGAGTAGCATCAATAGTGACTCTCCGGCGACTAGCATTTGCTTTAGTAGCGGCACGTCATTCGAAAAAAATGGCACTCTCGATCTCACAGCTGATACGCTTGAAAACAAATCCCAAGATAAGAATTTCGACTCGAATAATGTAGTCAAACCTCGACGGGAAAAGACGGAATCGGACATTGTATTCCGGAGAAATTGTCACTATAACCGAAACACTGACGTAATGGGAAGTTGTGGGCAGGAAGCGGTACTCGCACAGGATCAGGTAATTCCTCACTGCTCGGGATAGTTTGATTAATACCTTACATACTACTTAATTCTGGTTGGGTACGAATTTTCTAACATATTTTAAACTAACACCTGTAATGCTATGTCTGTTATAAGGACCTGTTCTGTATTTTACTTGGTAGCTATTTGTGTGACGGTTTTAAGTAATTTATGTGTGGGAATGGATTCAGCTAATTTTATTAATTCGAGACAAATATTTATTAATATAATTTCCTCAAAAGTTATTAGTTAATCTCTAGAAATTATAGTAAATTGCTCACACGTCTTACATTTTGGCGTGATATCAATTTTTTTTTTCAATTTATTTTAATAGTATTTTGCCAAAGTAGACCATAATATAAGGGAAATCTGAATATAAATGCCTTTATTAAGTTACATTTTACGACATAATATATATTCATTAAAATCATGAAAGTAGTCTATGCTGCATCTACATCTAACTCTAACAAAGACAACAATTTCTAATATTACTAACTTTCTAATTTATAATCTGTGCGCGGCTACCGTCTTCCTGCCAAGAAATTGGAGAAATGCTGAATGAGAGAATTACACCAATGCCATTAAATTCTTACGTCACTTAACAATTTTTGGGAATGAACGCCTAACGATATCACACAGAAGCTGAGAAATAAAAGAATAAATTGTCCGTTTTGTGAATGTATGTTTTCCAGCTGCATGTTTTGGCTATCATGTGTGTGTTTGTCGCTCTTTGCTGCGCTCGCAACTCCTGCAGAACACAAAAGTTAACACCAAAAGACAGCACGCCGTAAAGGATGTTTAAAGCGTATATTGAATTTAACCTTTTCATAGTCCCCGTTTATTTATTTTTTTTTTGAAAACGGGCACTATGAATATGAATAACAATAGAAAAAGTCACAGTATTGTTTTGCTATACTTATATCCAGAGTATTAGTTATATGTATAATGTATAAATTAATAAAAGTAATAAGACGGTGTGCTGTCCTAATTTTGTATTCAAGCTAAATTTCTTAGGAATAGTAAAATGTTTAGTAGCGACCCAATTCTACGTAAAGTGGAAAGTTATATTAAAATTATTGCTCGACTTTTATTTTTAATTTTAAGATACGAGGGCGGCACTGAAAATTTCGGGAATCAAGGAAGTGACACAATATTACTATTTAAAAATGTATTTATTGCTTTTCGAAGTATTCTCCGCGAAATTTGACACATTTTTCCATACGATGGAACCAATCATTGAAGCAACCATTCCATTCGGAAGTTGGGGTCTCCAAAATGGCCGTTTTGTAGGCGTCCACAGCTTCTTCAGGTGATGAAAATCTCTGTCCACGCAATTTATTCTTTATTTTAGGGAAAGTATAGAAATCATTAGGGCTTAGGTCGGGGCTGTACGGCGGATGGTCTAATAATTCTATGTTTTCTTGCTCTAAAGACGCTTTTGTTCTGTGTGCGGTGTGAGAACTCGCATTGTCGTGATGGAGGATGATGCGGCGGTTGCAGTTCTCTTTACGGAGTTCAGAAACGACCTGTGGCAAACAAATGCTAGCATACCATTCTGCATTAACCGTTCTTTGTCCCTCAAGAGGAATAGTCGTAACCATGGCCGGTTTTGGGGACAAACGTGGCCACCATTTTTTTTAGCAACACCGTGAACGAACAATTTTTGTTGGCTTTAACTCATTTTCGAACACCCAACCTCGTGACTGGTTTTTGTTTCGGGTTCGTACGCGTATATCCAGGATTCGTCACCTGATACGATGTTGTATACAGCATTTGAGGATCCTTCGTGGAATCTTTCGAGAGTTCTGACGCACCAAGTAACGCGAGCCGCTTTTTGATCTTCACAGAGCGAATGCGGTATCCATCGGGAAAACAACTTTTTTACACCTAATTGTTCATGCAAGATTATTTGTATTTGACTCATCCCAATGTCTAAAGCTGCCTGAATTTCGCGGTATGTCACATGTCGATCTTCCTCAATCAGCTTACGCACAGCATCAACGTTTTCTTGGGTGACTGCAGTTTTTGGACGACCTTGATGGGGATCATCACTGAGCTTGAACTTCCACATTGAAATTCAGCAAACCAGCGATAAATTGTGGTTTTGGATGGGGCTTCATCACCAAATGCAGAAATCATCCGGCAACACACTGTTTTTGTGTTAAACCACTTCGAAAGTCATAATAAATCATCGCTCTTGAATTTTTTCGAGTCAATTCCATTTTCTCAACGACTAAACAAGTTTGACATAACCTTGTGACAAGACCGAGAATCTTTTTAAAAAAATAAATGGTATTCGATTTTTAAAACCAAGGTATTTTCAATTAAAAAGATTTTAATATGACAGGAACAGTGGAAATATTCCGTTCCCGATACTTTTAGTGCAGCCTATGTATAATGTAATTTTTAATATTGTTTATTTTAAAAATGAACGATATTATATATTGAATTATGAATAGAAGTTAAGAAAGACCAATTGACAATTCCAATTCGGCTGGGCAGCATGCGGGAGATACGACACTTCTCGTCACATATTGCTCCAAACTTAAAATTGCGTCACGTATTGCTGCCAATGATGTCGTGGTCTTTCTTTGCTGTCCGTATGTGGAACCTTCAGGTCTCTCAGCGAGCTATGAAGAGTTATACTCGCAATTTCCCTGCGTGTTAGAGGAACCGACATAGCCTAACGGATCATTAGACATGCAGGATACAGGTGGTTCAGGACCGTGTTTTGTGGCATTCCTTAGAATTCTTATGTTCAGCAGTGTGGACTTGTGAACAACAGTAGTGATGATCATGATAAATAGAAGTTTTAAATATATATTATCTGGTTCCTTGTCTCAATTTTTAAACAGCAGTAATTGTACTCTTACAAGGCGCGGCTGATAAATCGCGGTTTGACTATTTACTGCCGCGGCTTAATACTTACGCAATTTTGAATTTTTTTAGTTTTTAATATAGTCTCTCTAAAGTGAACTATATTTTTCATATGGAATGTACAAAGATTATAAACCGTTAAAAATTCATTTGTTTTATTATTGTGACTGTTTTCATCTAATATAGAAAATCTTGGACACCGTTATACCTTTTTCTGCTTTGCATAAGTCCCTCGGGGCTAGATCTAAACTTTAAAGTGGATTATACATTATTTTAAACTCGTGTATCTTATGGCAATCATAAAAAAAGAACACTATTATTCTATACTATTGCTCACACTTACCCGAACCAAGAAATGAACTTAGTTATTCAACACTCACTGAAGTCCGCTTAGGCACATGTAATCGATCAATAAAATATCGATGCAATGCCAGAAAAATCATCGCTACTGCTAATTTCGTGACAAAACCCAATAACTGATTTTGGTCCGAGGGTTTGAGCCCTAGCCCTAACCATGCTCAGTCGTGATTACTACGATTAGATCAGCGAGACAGTCAGATTATGATTGCCTAGGTCGCGTACTTATCAGCCGCCCTTCGTATGTATTAAGTAGATGTTTTTTTTTTGTTGATCGTCGTTCATTTATATTCACCTATTTCTATTTCTTTTTTTTTTATAAAGAAAGAACCATCCTAAGAATAACGCCACGACCATAGTTTCTATGTTCGATAACTACGGTCAATTTAGTTAATACTTTCCATATAGCTTGTTTATAGCAAAATATAACAAAAAACACAATATATTATTTGCTATTTATTTATTTAATAAAATCATAAAACTATTTGTACATTTATGTTGCACAGTTCATTAGAACAAGCACTACATAAGGAAAAGTAACACGTAACCCACGATTTTTGTGATAGCATATAACTACAGGCACACACACATACACCTATCAAAAATGAAACGCTTGCAGGGTCGGTCAAGTGGTGCGAATGAAGGAAGTGGATCACGAACTAGCTCCGTTCTCCCGGATTTGCTTAGTCAAGCCGGACAACCAACCACTCCACCGCGTCTCGACAAATCAACCAGCGAAGAGGTAAGAATACCCATATTTGTTATAATTTGCCTTCAAAATTAAATATTTACCGCTCAGGCATTGGTACGCTACTACATTTTAAATACTATCGCCGATAGATGAGCTACTGGATTACACATTTGCAATTTATACCATGTGTTTTATCAAAAAAGTATTTATTTTACAATATTACAAGTATTTTATTGATATTATAGTATCCATCTTATTGTAGCTTAATAAAAACAATCAAATTTGAGCTAGAACCCATTTGTAACTTATATAGATATTTCATTATTAAATATCAGTAACAGGGTTTCCAACACTATCATTTCGTAGTTTGACACCATATAAAATGTAAATCAATTTATCAATTTAATATTAAATATTATGAAAAAAAATTAAATAACGATAGATGCACAAATTCGTCTGTATTTTTCAATTTTGAAAAAAAAACTGCTTTTATTATTATCATATTAGCCTTTATGAGTAACTGAAAAAGATATTTCTCCTGAAGACTCCAATTATATAAATAGAAGTGTTGGGAACCCTGCTTATAAACACAATATTCATGTGGAGCTACTAGTATATAGTATTAATGTGATAATGGTTGTCGATCATGCAAACACCCTGGAGCCACGGTCGGCGACTGGTTTGCAGACAGCTGTTAACACTGCGTAAGTACGAAACGAATTGATGCAAGAAGAAACGCTTCCCTAAAGGTTACATAGGCTGTTGTTTGTTTCGATAGTACTCTCGCTCTTTTCTTGTGCATTACATAGATTGTTATGCTTCTATTATATACCATCTGTAAAATTATGTATCACATCAATTATTTCATCCTTCATGTAAATCATACGCTTTCAGTGCTAATATTCAATATGCTAAAAACTGTATTGCTATCGAAGCCGAAAGAAAGCCTGAATTTCAATTCATTAAAGAATATCTGTATTATGTTGTACAGTACAACTATAAATTATTAGGTCCTTACATATGAAATTAGCGTTTTGTCGTACTGACCACTTTGATCTGAAATATCTCCTCTTCGGTTAAGAATTCCAAATTCAAATTAATAAATTCATTTAGCTGGTATTTTTTCTTTGGTGTCGCCTATTACCGCACAATGGAAAACATGAAATATCGAGTTCTATCGTGGCACCAGTGCTGCCGAAACAGCTCAAAGGATTAATGATGTCTACGGCGCTGGTGTCTCAAAAGAAAGCACGGTACGTTTTTGGTTTCAACGTTTTCGTTCTGGAAATTTCGACCTTCAGAACCAACCCCGTGGACGGCCGGAGACCAAAGTGGAAAATTAACAATTAAAGGCTATTGTGGAAGCGGATCCATCACAAAGCACTTCAGAGATTGCTGCAGTCTTTAGGGTAAGTGATAAAACTGTATTAATCCACTTGAAGCAAATCGGGAAAGTAAAAAAACTTGAACGATGGGTACCTCATGAATTGAGTGAATCGAACTTGCAAACACGTGTCGACTGCTGTGTTACTTTGCTCAACCGTACACAGTAATGAAGGGATTTTAATCGAATCACTACTTGTGATGAAATGTGGATACTGTACAATAATCGGAAGCGCTCGTCGCAATGGCTGAACCCTGGAGACCCAGCCAAATCCTGCACTAAACGAAAATTGACTCAGAAAAAGTTACTTGTAAGTGTTTGGTGAACTAGCGCTGGTGTCCTTCACTACAGCTTTCTAAAATCTGGCCAAACGATTACGGCAGATATCTATTATCAGCAACTGCAAACCAAGACGGAAGAACTAGCTGCTAAACCACCGAGATTGGTCAATCGCTCTAGGCCACTACTGCTTCACGACAACGCAAGACCACACACTGCACAACAAATAACCACTAAGTTAGATGAGCTACAATTGGAATGTCTGTGACATCCACCGTACTCCCTGGACCTTGCTCCAAACCATTTTTTCCGGAATTTGGACAACATCTCATCTTGTGAGAACACAAGGAAAAAAATTCAACTCCGATGCGGCAGTCCAAACCGCCTTCAAATAATTTATTGATTCTCGCCCCCGTGGTTTATTTAGTAAAGGGATCAACGAACTACCTATAAGATAGCAAAAGTGTATAGATAACAACGGTGCATACTTTGATTAATTAAGTATATTTTACAAAAAAAATGACTTTATATTCCTCCCGTACAAAACGCCAATTTCATATGTAAGGACCTAATATAAATAAACAATCACATTAGAAAATATAAGCCTCAAAAATGTGACCTTCTTTGTTGTTTTAAAAATTCTTTAAACACCATTAGCAAAATTAATATTCATATAAAACAATAATAATATTCGTATAAAAACTACACTTTCCATTTGTATGTCAAATTAAAATCAAATTTTGTTCATGGCAAATCGACAAACTGGTTATTACTTTTCGATATTCGCTTTTAAGACACGTAGAAAAAATAACTTAAACTTTTCAAAGTGGACAATATTAAATTGTTATTTGCAATTGTTTTACAATGTCATTTTTAAACATTTGTTTTTTATCTATATATCATGACTTTCAATATGAAACATATTTAATAAAAAAAAATCTTCTAAAACTTCTCAATAAATAAATTTCCAATAAATATTAAAAATTGGCATTCTACAAAAAATCCAAGTCAAATACTATTATTGCAACATGTTCATTATGTACCTATGTAAATCTATTGCAATTAAACATAAATATGACAAAAAGGCGTTTAAATGTATAGTTGTTTAACTTTATATGTCATTGCCTGCTAAAATTTCACTCTTATATCAAAAGTATGCCATTGTGAATTTGTAGATAATAATATAAGCCAATAACAACTTTCCGAATATAGTTGAAATGACGACTAATCATTGGGAGATGGAATTGACTAACATATCATTACTTAAAGTAAGGACTATGATTATAAATTACCTTCGTTAGTAATTATTATTTCTGAAAATATAAAAGCATAAAAAATAAAGTAACAAATAAAAGATACAACTTAAACTTACTGGATATGTTTTCTTCCACAGTACAGGCAAGCCATTGCTGGAGGCCCCCACCATCATCATCATCCTCTCCCTTCCTCCGTTCAATCTACTCCATCCAAGTCTTTCGTATCTGGAGCAGCTTCACCGCACCCTCTTCAGCATTCCCCCTCTAACTCCTCTGTGGGCTCCCAACAACAGTTCCTCCCCTTGCAACAGAAGCAGCGTTCGTTTCTTACATTCGGGTTCGGTGCGGGATCGACTGGCAGTGGCACTGGTGGATCGGGTGGCAACGCGTCACGTCGTGAGAGTCACGTCAATGTTAACGTTACGCCTACTGGGCACGACCTATCCTCGGACACGCCCGAAATACGCAAATACAAGAAGAGATTTAATTCAGAAATACTGTGTGCTGCTTTATGGGGTAATTGTTTTTGTCAATATAATATCCGCTTATCCACCTTTACCTTTGTGGTACGAACTAGCTTCATAATGCTTAATGTAATAAGCCATAAGCATAAATATAAATAGAGGAAAAGGACCGAATATGGAATACTTAAACAAATGAAGAAAAAAAATACAGTACAAAAGTTTTATTTTAATCAGTCTCATTGGTTACAGTTATGTGTAGTCATTATCACTCTGTAAAAATAATAATTAAATCAATAAATCATAAACACTCCGTAATATTATTAACTAAAATAAATCACCAAAAAGTTGCTTCTGAAAAATGTGACCCTATTATGGAATACCCTATTCCATAATAGGGTCACGCCGCGTTAATCAAAAGAAAATAATAAAATTAACCCTGCAAGCTAAACCCTTGGGTGTCTTCGATTGAACATTGCTAAGCCCAGTCTCGTAGACGTTGTAGATCCTAGTTGGTGGAAATTTAAAAAGCTCAAATTCCTTTTCCAGTAAATTGAAGAAGAATTTAACATTTTCTTTCGTGAAGCCTTTAACCTGAGCAAATGATGTACCAGTAGGTTGGACCGGAGAAAATTCTTTATGCCTCGAAAAAAACCCTTTTAAACATTTACGTCCAGCTGTTCTATTATTAAAAGGATGTTTTAAATTATTTTTTACTGCCAAATGATATGGCATTCTCTTCACATCATGTCCAGTTAGCCCAAAATACCGTTTTTTTTTAATTTGCTTGACATACTGTACTAACTTATGTTCAATGTCAGGTCCTAAACCTGTTTTACGACCAAGGCGGTAGTCTATATTTGGTTCGTATCATGGCAGAACCGAAAGAGGGTAGTCCGAGGTACATTAAGAACCTGTGCAGCTTTCTTATAACCCATTTTTTGGGTTTTCACGGCTTTAATAGCATTTTTCATATTGATTTTGTCCCATGATTTTCGCTTTTTTTACTGGTGGGGTCATTTTGATCACAATTAAATCTGTAAAAGAGAGAAATAGTAATCAGACACCATATTAAAAATTTGCTTTTGTTGAGGTTTTAATATAGAATACTATTCCATATTAGGAGCTCCACGGTATTCCATATTACGAACAATATGATGGCGGGAGGAAAATAAAAGTAACTTTTTATTATTTTAAAAAATTCATAAAATAACAATACCATTTAAAAACTACATACTTTGTTCATATACTTATCAACTTATTTTGAAATATTCATGTACTAACAATAAGAGAACATATACGCAAAACTTACCTAAATATCCGATTGATGTTGCGTCAACAGCGTCGAGTACTCTCACTTGCGTGTAGTGTAGTGCCGCCGGACGCCGCACGCACCTTGGCCGTCGAACGTGGGTAGCGGGAGAGGTAACAGGGCACAAGTTTGGATTATTCGTGACGCTTAGTTTTAGAAATATTACGGTATTCCATATTAGGGGCGTATTCCATAATTGGTACCTTTCCTCTACATATACTTATGGTTATAAGAAATGAGTTTCTTATACTTTCAGTAACTGTCACTTTATTGTTTGTTATTTATGGAATAATTAATTGGACAATGATTATGTGTCCACAAGTATAATTGATTCGCTCCTGCTTTATGTCAATAAATAGAATTAAATCTACTGACATAAAATACAAAAAAAAAACCTTTAAATGTAGTTACTGTCTTTTGACATTTATTGATATTAATATTTTAGGGGTGAATTTACTCATTGGCACGGAAAATGGTTTAATGCTACTCGATCGCTCTGGTCAAGGAAAAGTCTATCAATTGATCTCACGACGCCGCTTCCAACAAATGGAAGTATTAGAGGGACAAAATATTCTTGTAACTGTATCTGGAAAGAAGAACAGAGTTCGTGTCTATTACCTTAGTTGGCTAAAGTCAAAAATTTTACGCACAGATGGCCTTAGTGACGTAAGCATAATTGTAATTTTTAAAGTTATTTATATTTTTTTAACATAACGTTTTTATAAAATTCCAATATATGTTCTATTCTACAGCAAGTTGAGAGGCGAAATGGCTGGATAAATGTAGGAGAACTACAGGGTGCTGTGCATTTTCGAATTGTTAAATATGAGCGAATCAAATTTTTGGTAATTGCTCTTAAAGATTCAATAGAAATTTATGCATGGGCACCAAAACCGTATCACAAATTTATGGCATTTAAAAGTTTTGGCGATTTGCAACACAGGTAAGGCAATCATACTTATAAATTACAATTTAGGTTTCTAATCATTTACCATCTTCATATGAGCTTCCCGAGAAATTATGCAATAGCGTCACCAGTTTTGTCGCAGATTGGAGCTTCAGTGTTGTAGTTGATGGTGCATGCTCTGACTCCAAGTCTGTGAATGCTGATGTTCCAAAAGGCTGCGGACAATTCGCCTACCTTGTTCCCTCTGCATACCAATCATATGTTGCAAACTACAGTAACATTCATTGGTATGCAGTTGACATCACTGGCAACGTGTTTTACATCGGCCGTTCTAATATTTCTCAAGAACATGTCGTCGAGTGCTGGAACAAACGTGTGTTTGTAGTAGATCGAGACAGTATTTATAGTCGTATTATTAATTAGACGAAGTCAACTGACATTTACTGTGTTGTCTGTCAGTTTTTGATAAAATAAAAATAGTGTTGTGACAAAGTGAATGATTGAAAAAACTCCTGAATTAATGAAATTGCCTCGATTGTCTAGTGCATATATGGGCAACAACCGGCCCGCTGTAAGATATGATCCGGCCCGATAGACATTTTGAAAAAACCCAATTAAAAAAATATTACATTAGGTACTTATACTCACGGGAGTGACAGTGAGGCAAACATCAAATCCTTTGATGATTTGTTGTTGCCCATATATGCACTAGACAATCGAGGCAATTTCATTAATTCAGGAGTTTTTTCAATCATTCACTTTGTCACAACACTATTTTTATTTTATCAAAAACTGACAACACACATCAAATCCTTTGATGATTTGCCGCCTCACACTTTGATAATCGCCGCCACTCGGCTTGCTCGATCAAATTCTTTGAGGTATGCCGCCTCACGAGCGACACATCAAAAGATTTATTGCTTCTCAATTATTCTAAACTAGTTTATTCCAGATTATTCCTTCATTTTGCCTATATAAGCGGGTGGATGGACCGAACGTTAGTTTAGTTCTATTTGAGCTACCGAGATTATAACTTGGACAAGCGATATCCTAGCGAACTGCTCGAGCCGTCAACTTGCTTTGTGACTTTGTGTGCATCTTGAGGGGTTACTAACTAGTGTGTTATTAAGTCTATTGAAAGAAAAGTAAACAAAAATTATGTCTGGTGGAAAGAAACGAAAAGTAGATACAGAGGGTCGCCAGTTTCATGAAAAATGGACTGAAGAATTATTTTTTATCTTGCACAATGGTAAGCCTATTTGTTTCCTGTGTAATGAATCCATTTCAGTAAAGAATGAAATCAATATAAAGAGGCATTACTCAACTAAGCATGCTACGCTGCACTCACTGACAAGACAATTAAGAACAGAAAAAATCCAGGAGCTTGCCGCAAATTTGGAAAAACTGCAACAAATGTTTCATAAACAAAGAACACAACTTGATAATGTTGTGAAAGCTAGTTTTATACTTAGCTCAAAATTGGCAAAGGCATTAAAACCATTTGCCGAAGGAGAATTTATCAAGGAGTGTATGTTAGAAGTTTGCGGTACTTTGTGTCCTAAAAAGAAAAATGAATTAGAAAAAATTAGTTTGTCAAGACGTATAGAAATGATAGCTAATGATATAAAAACGACATTGACTGACCGTATGGCTGGTTTTGAATCATTTTCCATAGCATTAGACGAGAACACCGATTTGTCGGACACAGCTTAACTGGCAATATTTATTCGAGGTGGTGATAAGGAGTTCACTGTTACTAAGGAATTGCTTGCTTCACAGCCGCTAAAATGAACCTCTACAGGAGAGGATATTTTTATTGAAGTTCAAAAGGTATTCACAAGTTTTGGCTTGCCATGGTCAAAATTAATTGGAGTATGCACTGATGGTGCACCTTCTATGGTCGGCTTACGTAAAGGTTTCATCGGAATTTTGAATAAAAAAGCAACAGAATTCAATGTACAAAAAGATGATTTCATAGTCCTTCATTGCATTATCAACCAACAGAACTTGTGTTCTAAGTCCATTCGACTCCAGAATGTTATGATTGTGGTAGTAAAAACCATCAACATTATTCGATCCCGAGGGCTTAACCATCGTCAGTTCAAGGTGTTTTTGGATGAAATATCAGCTGAATATAACGACGTAACATATTATTGTGAATTCCATCTAACTGAGCAAAAGAAAAATGTTGAAACGGTTTTACGAGCTTCGAAATGAGATAGCAGACTTTATGAAAATAAAAGATAAACCACTATCTGAATTAAGTGACCCAAAATGGATATGTGACTTGGCATTTCTAGTCGATCTTACAGGCTATTTGAATGATTTAAATTTGAAACTATAAAACAAGGGCAGTTAGTAAATGATTTGTGCAGCCATTTGAAAGTGTTTCAGATCAAACTAAGCTTGTGGGAGTCACAGATGCTTTCTGGTAACAGTTACCATTTCAACACGCTCTCTGCGTATGAAAATATTGCTTATGCTCAATATGCTGAAGAACTCAAGTTACTGTCGGAACAATTTTCGAACAGATTTAGCGACTTCAAAAACATGTACCTTCAAAATATAATGTACAAAATGCTCCAATACACTTACAAATGGAGTTGATCGAGATTCAAGAAAACTCACTCCTAAAATCCAAATTTGAAAACGTAGAGTTGTGCGATTTCTACAAAAAATACCTAGAAAAAGACAATTTTCCGCAGCTTAGAAAATTGGCAAGAAGATTGATTTGTGCGTTTGACAGTACTTATAAATGCGAACAGTTCTTTTCATTGATGAAAGTTAATAAATCAACACATCGTACAAGACTGACTGACGATAATTTGGAAAATTCAGACGTAAAACAATTATCCCATGCTACGCTGCCATCTCTTCCACAACATACTTATCGCAATGTTCTTGTTTGTGCTGCCGAATTTTGAATGTCTATTAGAGTAGCTTTGACAATTGTTGCTTCGAATGAAATATTTTTGCTCGTTAGCCACTCTTGTATTCTAGGTTTAGTCCAAGACATTTTAGGCAGCGATTCTAGTTTCCTGGAGTGGTAGGGGGCATTATCCATCACTACTACGGAATTTGGTTTTAGTTTTGGCAAGACCCCCCTAAACCACTTCTCAAAGGAATCTGCATTCATCTCTTCATGATAATCTTCTTTATTTTTTTTTTGCTTCAAATATTAATAAGCTGTCTTCTACGAATCCTTCTTCCCCGCCTATATGGCCGATAATTAATCGTTTGCCCTTTCCTGAAGGCTGTTTTAAGCCAGTGGTCAAGCCATCTAGGAAGGCCTGGCGGGACGATAACTCTGTCTGGTGAATCCATGCCTTCGGTGCATGATCTTCAAGATAGTGAAAAATATCAATTAATTTTTGAAAGTACAATTTAATGTAAAGAAAACAGAAAATTGTAATTACTTTCGTTGATCCAGGTTTCGTCTTGGTAATAAATATACCTTCCTTCCTTTCGATACTCTTTAATTTTTCGAAGGTATCGCTGACGCCATAAAATAATGTCCTGTCTGTCAATTAAAATGCTTTGTCTTGAATTTGTGACATATTTGAAATTTAAATGTTTCATAACAATTCTTAATGTACTCCAAGAAAAATTGGGTAAGTCTGGGTCTTCATTGACAACCTTAAGAATCTGTAAAGTAATAAAAAAAAGTTTTTGAATAAGGAAGTCTACGCAATCTAATACTTTGGTTTTACAAAGAACATTATGGTGGACACAGAATATAACGCAGTAGAAGTAATAAAGTTTAAGTTACCTTTATAATGGTGGGTGACTCATTTGCATAAAAAAATTATGTACTTTTCGCCTTATAGTGGCAAAAGTAAAATCGTCTAAATTATCTTTGAAACTGTGTGGACCGAAGTCCACGTTTCTCGGGATTTTTAAATTGTTCATTTTCTTTGCATTCTTTTAAACTGAGGTCACACCAATTCCCAAAATGTCAGCTGTTTTCGAAACACATTCTTTTTTTTCCGGGAGCCTCAATAGGTAATAGTGAAGCAGCTTTCTCCTCAAATACGTGTTTATAGACGTTTTGTATCATAAGTTTTTCGGTAACGCTTAAAGCAATCCGTGGTCTCTTCTTTCTTGGAGACAAGCTTTGGCTTGACGTGCTTGGTTAAGGATCCATATCGTTTGTACGAAACAATATAGTAACAAATAAACACAAAAATTACCACAAACACAACGTAACGAAAAACTTAACAAAAACAATAACTAAACAGCGTGAGCGCAGAAAAAACATTCGTGCTATCAGACCAGAGGTTAGAAGCCGAATTACAAACAAAATGGCGAACGACGCGCGCGGCGTTGATCGGTGTTGGCACTAGTCTATATCAGAGCACTTTTATACAATTTTGTTGCAAAATAGAAATAATATTCTTTTATAGTTTGAAATGATTAACTATTCACACTCGTTGTTCATTCATCTGATTGAAAGAGAACTGAACGCATCACTAGTACTTTAAATATGGCAACATTATTTTACAAAGTGACATTAGCTACTGTCAGTCGTCGAATTAAAAATACAAGTAGTAGCCTACCAATCGCTTGCAGCTTGCAACTTTACAAAAAGCGCAGGTTCGATTTCAGATGGAATACTATTCTCAAAGATGAGAGGCATCCAGCTCCCTCTACTTGATCGCGTTTAAGGAAAAATGGCTCAAATCGTCGACGGCAAGTTCTTTCCGACTTGATTCATAGGCTTAGGAGTGCTCAGAGGAATTGTTCGGATTAATTCCGGCTGCTAAATTCCTCCATCGCACATTGCGATAGAACTCGGTATTCCATCCACAACATCACGAACGTTGGCCGTCCACTACACTAGTACAAGAAATATTCTGCCACATTGTTGAACTGGCACACTACTGTTGCCAGCTATTTTATAGGATAAACGTGACTTAGGGAACTTCAAGAAAAGAGACTAGACCTTCATAAAAGGCATCTGCAATACTTCTGGTGTGGCAGATTTTCATTTGTTGCCTTTAGACACTGAGAGAGACATAGTCTCATAGCCGATGTGTCTTTTTTGTCGTCATTGAACGAAATCCTGCAGTATAATTTGGTTTTATCGCTGCTTGTTTTCCCCGCTTGTCGTTAATTTGTCGTATACTCTGTAGTGCCTGCGAAGAATTTTAAGTACTAGTTAGCAATACGAGATTTAGGAGCATACCAGGTTCATTCTAATTCTTCACCGCCGTTAATGTCATGTAAATAATCAGTCCCGTAAGAGGTGACGGAGGGAAACTGAAACAGGAGATGTACAGAAGCATCTGCCTGATAAAAGCGCATATAATAAAATTACAACGGTATCCAGCCTACTACATGAGGCAATCTAGGAGGGGACGCCTATTTTCAGCAGTGAACTTTGAGCGGACTGTAATAGAATTAGATCTTTCACTGACACTACAGAATGTTACTCTTAGAAAAGTGTGTGATATTTTGTATAAAGTTCTTATAAAATTATAACAGTAATAAAAAATATGTGATGGTTCGGTTACGCAGTGGCTTACGTCTGTACTACATTCCAAAAATGTATACTCATAGAGTAACTTGGGCCACTGGCGTACCGGAGGGGAGTAGTGTTTTTTCCCGATACATAACTGTCTGTCATTTATTGCAGAGGAAATCAATTACAAAAACAATCGTCTGTCACTAAGAAACTCACACGTAACAATTAAAACAATATACTTACAATTTCACACACATATAATTATCCAAGGCCTAAACAAAACTGGCGGTGGCATTATCACTTTTTCTATATACAAATGTTGTATGTACCCCTTGAAGTCTTTCTTTTGCCTAGTCACATATATATATTTTTGATCGAGACGCAGGTTTCCTCTCCGACTGATATTTCGTATCTCTCCTGCCCGGGGTACAAATTGGAGCTCTCCTTTGTGCCTCGGGCTGGAGTTTGCGTGTATGTCGGAGAGGACATCTGTTCTCGACGCCTCGGCAGTCTTGAAGGTTCGGACCTGTCCATCCTTTGGCTACGCGTAGACAGCGACGACCATCCTCGCGTCTACGGGTGCCTCTATAGGTCCCATAGCGGTAATGCCGAAACAGACCGACTCATCGACCACGTCCAAATGGCTACAGACTCCTTGCTACAACAGGTCCCATCCGCAGAGATCGTGATCCTTGGCGATTTTAACGCCCACCATGCCGAATGGCTCGGTTCACGTTTAACCGATCATGCGGGGAGATCTGTTTATGACTTTGCCTTGGCATATGGTCTGACACAACTGGTTACTTCGCCTACGCGGATTCCAGATGTGGAGGATCATACACCTTCCCTGTTGGACCTTCTACTGACCTCTCATCCGGACGGATGAGAGGTCAGCAGAAGGTCCAACAGGTCCCCTCTCGGCTCTTCGGACCATTGTCTGATCCGGAGTATGGTGCCACTCACGCTCCCTTCGCGGTTGCGTTCTGCAGGTTGCCGCCGTGTTTGGCATTACAGGTCGGCGGATTGGGACGGAATGCGGTCTTTCTTTGCATCCTACCCATGGGGGCGGGTTTGCTTCTCGCCGGATGATCCCAGCGCTGTTGCTGACTCTGTCACTGATGTGGTGCTACAGGGAATGGAACTATTTATTCCATCATCTGTGGTACCCATCGGAGGCAGATCTCAGCCTTGGTTTGGTCGCTCCTGTAAGACTGCATTGCGCAGTAAGCAGGAGTGTTATCAAGCCTGGGCTGCGGCTTCGGTGACTCGGGATGTAAACACCAGCACACTTAAAAAGAAGTATAACTTCGCCTCCAGGTCCTTCAAAAGAGTTAGTGCCAAGGCAAAGTCAGAGCACATAGGCAGAATTGGCGAGAAACTAGTTCGCCTTCCTTCGGGAACCCGTGCATTCTGGTCTCTCGCCAAGGCTGTCCAAGGGAATTTCTGTAAGCCATCACTACCATCTCTGCACAGGGAGGACGACTCACTGGCCCAAGACGCAAAAGACAAAGCCGACCTTTTAGGCTCCCTTTTTGCGTCCAACTCGACTCTTGATGACGGGGGGAAAACACCGCCGACCATCCCGCGGTGTGAGTGCTCCATGCCGGATGTACTATTCTCACAGCGCTCAGTTCACAAAGCACTTCTCTCCCTGGACATCCAGAAGTCGAGTGGGCCTGACGGAATCCCCCCAATTGTGCTGAGGACGTGTGCTCCGGAGTTGGCACCGGTCCTAACGCGTCTTTTCCGGTACTCCTACTCCCAAGGCGTAGTCCCGAATTCATGGAAGACAGCTTTTGTCCACCCGATTCCTAAAAAAGGCGACCGCTCAGACCCGTCCAACTATAGGCCTATCGCGATCACCTCCTTGTTCTCCAAAATAATGGAATCCATTATTAACTGCCAGCTCATCCGGTACCTTGAGGATCACCAGCTTATTAGTGACCGCCAATACGGTTTTCGTCGGTGTCGATCAGCTGGTGATCTTCTGGTCTACCTGACCCATAGATGGGCGGAGGCAGTAGAGTCCAAGGGGGAGGCGTTGGCCGAAGCCTATTAACGCTGGTGTTCCACAAGGCTGTGTGCTATCACCAACGCTGTTTCTTCTGCATATCAATGATATGTTGCTAACTGGTAACATTCATTGCTATGCGGATGACAGCACTGGTGATGCTCTATACACCGGCCGGGCCAATATTTCTCGGGAAAACGTCGCCGAGTACCGAAACAAACTTGTGTCTGAAGTCGAGTCTTTGCTGGACAAAGTCTCGGATTGGGGGCGACTAAATCTAGTACCAGTTTAATCCTCAGAAGACACAAGTTTGCGCGTTTACCGCTAAAAAGAACCCCTTTGTCGTATCTCCTCATTTTCAAGGCACTACCCTTCTTGCCTCAGCCAGTATCGGTATCCTCGGAGTCGACATATCGAGTGACGTGCAGTTTCGTGGTCACTTGGAAGAGAAGGCCAAATTGGCCTCTAAAAAGCTTGGCGTGCTCAGCAGAGCGGGACAGTATTTCATGCCGGCACACCGCCTGCAACTTTACAAGGCGCAGGTTCGGCCTCACATGGAATACTGTTCCCATCTCTGGGCAGGGGCTCCCCAGTGCCAGCTCCTTCCACTTGACCGCATCCAGCGCAGAGCGGCTCGAATCGTCGACGACCGAGCCCTTTCCGATCGGCTCGATTCATTGGCACTGCGAAGAGATGTTGCATCTCTTTGCATTTTCTTTCGCATCTACCATGGGGAGTGCTCTGAGGAATTGTTCGGATTAATCCCAGCCGCCAAATTTCATGAACGCACATCGCGGTAGAACTCCCGATACCATCCACATCATCTGGATGATTGGCGGTCCACCACTGTGCGATTTAGAAGATGTTTTCTTCCTCGCACGACTTCCTTGTGGAATCGATTACCATCAGCGATTTTTCCGGACCGATACGACTTAGGGACCTTCAAGAAAAGAGCCTACTCCTTTTTAAAAGGCCGGCAACGCATCTGCAATTCCCCTGGTGTTGCGGTTGTTCATGGGCGGCGGTAGTCACTTACCATCAGGTGAGCCGCATGCTCGTTTGCCCCCTCCTATAAAAAAATATATATATATATATATATTCATATATTGTATTAAGAATAGCAGGTTTAGTTCTTTAAAAACTGCCTAGCCATTTTTTTAAAGTTATGAAAAGAATGGTATGTTTATTATAGACTGTATCTTAACTTTTATATTTTCTTATACTTAGGAGATTGTAATCGGAGTAATGCGACGACACTAGACATACGGTCTATAGACCTAGAGTCGAAGTGTTTACACTGTTAAGATGCCAAGGTGCAGATGTAGATTCGCTATTGCTCAGAGTCGCTGTCGTTGCTTTGGGAACGGGACCTACACGGAATGTGACACAAGTATCTCGAATTTCGAACTAAGTTAAACTAACGCGAACTTGATCTGCGGAGAAAAGAAAATATTTTATTGTATATTATGAACCCCTGACGGAACTATGGCAGATATCAAGCTACACCAATTACAATCATTGAATAAAGGAGATGTTTAATCCAAATTGATCTCTTTCTAAGGAGAAATGATGATAGGGACGATTGCGGGGTAGCACATCAATTCTTGACAAACATATGACATTAAATGTAAAGCGATATCGCAAGCTCCGTGATGACAGCTAAAAGACATGAGCTGGGAGATAGACTCTAGACCGATATCAACACAAAAATTGCTAGACGTGTAAACGCCATCGACACTTTCGTGTTACCTACTGTCTTTGATTGTCGTGTATATTGTAGGTCTGGTATATATTTATGTGATAATTATTCCACCGGTTGTAGGGTACCGCAAGGTCTCACTAAGTTCTACATAATTGATTCTTAAAACGCCCACGGATAAAGATGCAATGATAAATTTTCCACTCCATGGAAAACATTTAATTAAAGTGTATTCATTTCAGGCCTTTATTAGTTGATCTTACTATTGAAGAAGGCACAAGACTGAAAGTTATCTATGGGTCAGCAGATGGATTCCATGCTGTCGATCTTGATACAGCAAGTGTTTATGATATTTATATTCCAAAACATGTAAGTACTTGAAATAATCTTAAAGTTCTACTATCCTCGTCATATTTTCTATTTTATTATTATTAGAACTCGTTACAAAAAGTAAATCTTAATTATCTGTGCTAATCATGCTCACTCACTCGCAACATTATTCCTGTTCAAACTAAATGCAAATATCAACGAACGACCTGAATATGTCTGATCGTCAACATCATAATATCCCTTCACTTTATGAATGTCTTACTAAACCGCCCTACATTTCGCTTAACAGTACAAGGCTGCCACTCTAGAACCTTTTTCCCAATCGGTAGTCTGTTTTTCGAACTAATTACGCGAAATCATATTTTTCGCACCGGTTTATACAAAATATTATTTTTCGTGACTATCATTTTGATGTCGACGCAGTTAGCGAATAGACTTATTGTACACGTGGTTCTATTATAGACTCCTTTATTTGCGCGGCTTATATGAATATATATTTCTTTACAGACACAGGGAGCTATTATTCCTCATTGCATTGTTCCACTGCCCAATTCCAATGGTGTGCAACTACTACTTTGTTATGATAATGAGGGTGTTTATGTTAATACCAATGGACGAATTAGCAAGAATATAGTGCTTCAGGTGAGTTTGACATTATATCAACATGAGAGATCATTTGAAATTAAAGGTACACTTTTAAAATACTATTTCTTTATTACAGTGGGGTGAAATGCCAACTTCGGTTGCATACATTGGCACAGGTCAAATAATGGGTTGGGGCAATAAAGCAATTGAAATACGCTCGGTAGAAAGTGGACACCTGGACGGTGTGTTCATGCACAAAAAAGCACAACGACTTAAATTTCTGTGTGAGCGTAACGACAAAGTATTCTTTTCCTCTGCCAAGGGTGGGTCTTCTTGTCAAATATACTTCATGACTCTCAATAAGCCTGGAATGGCTAATTGGTAGTTGAATGATTTGGCTGACGGCGACAAGCCGTTATGATCTGTGATGTAACACAGTACTGACTGTTCATGTCAGTAATTAAGTCAGTATGAAAACCCATGTGCTTCGGCCTTTCTTATTACAAAGACTTGTGATAATGACGGATTATAAATATTGTGTGCTCAAAAGACTATCCACAAAATTGCAGTTAACTGTTTACGGACATTATCTTTAATCATACGTGGCATTTTGTACTGAATAATGTAATTAATTTCAATACACAAGCTACTGAATATATATTATTAAGCAATAATCTATAGGATAAATGTTTTGATATTGACAATTATTCATAAGTAAGTTAATACTGCTTTTTATGTTGCAGTTGTTTATTTCTAAAAGAAAATTTAATTCAAATCAATCTATCAAATCATATAATGCCATACTATATTGTTTACTGTTAAGTTAGTTGGGTGATGATGATAATAATCAGTTAAATGTTTTTATAAGAAATTTAACAAAGAATAAAGCCATGTCTAACTATGTAATAATTGACTTTCTGACAAATAGGTTACAATTAGAAGCTGTATATTATACTTCTCACTATGACAAAGTTTCACTTTACAAATTGGCACTTAGTCAAGTCACTGTGTATCATAATTCTGACACCGAACTGTAATAATTTTATTAATAGAAGAATCCTAAAATTTGGTACTATTTATTATTTATTTGTTATGTACTATATTATTAACATGTATAAAGATGTAACTGTGCATATTGAATATTATATATTGATGACTTTTTATTTGGAAATACCTTAGCCCAATAAAAAAAGGAATGAAGTGCTTTCTTTTCTTTGACATCCTTATAAAATTCCAGTGATCAATAAATTTACAAAGAACGAAGTGTCTTATGCAGTATTACTGATTTATAGACACTAAGATAATCGTTATTAACACTTAACAGCAAACGTATTAGCTCCTTCTGGTGAATCCTGGAGCAACTACGACAACTACTACGTGTAGTTATTATGTGTGTGTATGATGTGTACACCTAATAATGTCAGACAGAAACTACTTTAAAATTTAGAAGCAGCATTCCTGAGAAAGAAGTGCTTGGAAACTATGTATTACAGATTATTAAGATATGAAATGAAAACTTAATACTAAAACGCTATAAATATTTAGTCGATACCGCAGCATGCTTGCTTCACTCACTCGTGTGCGGTATAAACAAGCCACCTAAAATGCCCAGGTCGGATGGCTAAGCCCAGTGAACGCAAATAAAACGTGCAAGTATTACTTCAAGGGAATTAAGCGAGAGACATTATTTCAAACTAACTAACACATTAAAAGTCACATAGCTGACTAGCTACAAGCTTATTATGTTTTATTGCGACTCGGGATGCACAAACAGAAGTTGACCTTATTTCCCGTCTGTTTTCTTGATTTTAATTGCTATACGTCATAGAAACTTAAGTATTTATGATGCAAATGTGCTCGTCACTCGTCGCCCGGCCCGAGACGTTTTATCAGTGTTATAATAGTAACGATTGTGCTGATTACAATTTAGTGATTTGACATGAATTTATAATGGGTCCGTGGTGTTCGAGCCTAATTTCCCTCAACTACCAATCTTGTACTCTGAATCCTTTAGAATAGATAATAATCTATGTCATCATCATCATTACAGCCCTTCACAAGTCCATTGCTGAACATAGGCCTCCCTCAAGGAATGCCACAAAGCACAGTCCTGAGGCACTTGCATCCATCGACTTCCGGCATGTCTTACCAAGTCGTCACTCCATCTAGTGGGGAGACGCCTTACACTTCGCCTGCCGGTACGAGGCTACCACTCGAGAACATTTCTTCCCCATTGGTTGTCGGTTCTTCGAGGTATATGGCCGGCCCATTGCCACTTCAGCATACTAATTCTTTGGGCTATGTCGGTTACTCTGGTTCTACAGCGGATATCCTCGTTTTTAAGTCAAACGCCGCCTTTGACCTTTCTATAGCTCGCTGAGCGACTTTGAGCTTCCTCATACGGCCAGCAGTGAAGGACCACGTCTCAGATCAGTAGGTCATCACTGGCAACACGCACAGGTTGAACAATCTAGTTTTGAGGTTCTGAGGTGCTGAGGTATGTCTAACGAGAAGATATGTCGTAATCTCCCGAACGCTGCCTAACCGAGTTGAATATGTCGATTGACCTCGGTCGAAGTTGGACTTACCTAGTAGGACTATTTGTCCCAGGTAAACATATAAGTCACTGACCGTGTTCATCTTATGTCTTATTTAAGATTAACAATAATCTATGTGTAATGATTTAATTGCCCGTGTTGTAAGATATATTTTGGAAATCTACAGCGACCTTCAAATTCATCGACACCGTTAAATCCATTTTCTTGTGTTGATCGTTCCTTATTGGTTAATTGTCGTATTCTTCGCTATTGTAATCTATTGCAATTTTTTAAACTAATCAAATTCGAAGAAAATATAACAAGAATTCAATGCAAATCACTGAGGCAATCAAGAAGACATAATATATTAGTTTTACATTTGTGTTGATTTGTCGCACTATGCGTAATGTAAAGTAGACCACGGTAGTCACCATCAGTGTAGACGAGGGGTCTCGGGATCTTCGTACAGAACGCACAGGGGCCACTTCATCGCTATGATTTTCCAACGCTAGAAGTACGTCCCGGGGCCAGTACTAGCTGCTCCAGCACCCTCGCAATCCTATCACTACATCCCGAGACCACTTTCGAGATTTTCCTCGGGGTTCACATTATTAGACATTCGGGACCCCTCCACGAGCACTCGCAACCCCGAAGACCTCTTTTCTGGTAGGGGAACACCATCATCAAGGTGAAGGCCCGTGACCAATGCCTTAGCGACATCGTCTCCGAGTTAGATCTGTTCTCCCCGATCCCACTCGGAAGACTCTTTCTGGACCTTTATGAATTCAAAAAGCTACGAATGCCGCTCAATATCGCTGACACAACTTCTGGTAGTAAGGTTCCGATCGATTCGGCTGACCAGGATTGTTCGCCCCCATACCCACGACGGGCACATATCAAGTTAATGGACGCAGATACCCACATCCCGCCCACCACAGCGGAAGCAGTTCGTCATCGCTTCGTCCGATCTTATACAGAACAGAATCACCGAAGCACACGTTATCGGTATGTGTCTGTAGGTAAGTCTTCCTAACCGTCTTAAAACCGGTTCGCCGATGGTGAGGTGCGAGCGCAGTTCTACATCCTCTCTCTCTAGCCCGAGAGTGTTATCATTCATGTCGGTACTCCCCACCAGTTCCTCGACTGCAGCATTTAAATCTCTGAGCCCGGCCTTATGCTACGGACGAAGATCCCTTTTAAATTGCGAAATCGATTTGCAACCTTTTCTCGCCTTCGCCTTCTAACCTTCGCTCGGCTTGCGCGTTATTGTCACCAGTAACGTAAAGCCCCTCCTCGATTCACTCGTCGTCGCACCCAAATAAATATACTAATGATGAAATCAGTTATTGAGCTTTTCCATCAAGAAATTCTCAGTAGCTGCTCGGAGTCAGGAAATTGGCAGTGTCTCACCCCCGTGCTTCGAAAAGCACAAAGCCGTTGGTCCTGCGCCTGATCTATCTCCTGTCATGTCGGTTTACCGTCCCAACCAGACTATGAGATTGAGGGAATAGACAGTGCACCCGTGCTTGCGCATACACTTGGGCACTACAATCCTGTCCTGCGCAGATGGCTAGTCTCCGTGGAGGCTGGCCGCCGTGACCGAAATTCGGTCTGGAGGACATAATTATTATTATTATTATAAATATACTGCACAATAATATTGCAATACAATTAGAAACAAATGCTGCTGACGATGTGACAAAATAAAAGCATTATGAAATGAGCGCGCGAACTTCAAGGTTATCTTATAAGCATCGCCTTTGAACACGTGATATGGCGGCTCTTCACGTTGGCCAACATAGTGGCGAATGTGTTGGCAAAGATATTGGCCAAGAATTTGTGATCAAATCCACACGTTGGAAGGTCGTTCAGTTTGCTTCGGTTCAGGCCAATGTGCGGACGATTTTATTAAATTTATTATTGAAGCGCTAACGGCTGTTGCGGTTTATTTATTCACAGCATACCACTATTTTTTATTTAATTTTCACTATTTTTAATTTTTAGTATAAATTTTTATTATTTCTTTATTATACACTAACGTTATACAGATAAGTAAACTATAACACACCTAGGCATAGGTATAATTAACACTTTTACAACTAAGGCCTGGAAAATATTCGAAGCCTGTCTATGAAACTGTTGTAAAATTTTTATTAAACAAATCTTTTTTAAAATGGTTATTATATAATTATAGAATAAAACTTAATAATAATAATAATAAATAATTTATTTCCTCAAACATTAAAGTTACATTATACGATCAGTGATCGACGTCACCTAGTAAGCAAAATAATGCCTGTAATAGGTGACTTCGCTCTTCCGTAGCTAAAAATTACAGTATTATTAACGAAATAAAGTAACTATTAGGGAATAATAAAGACAGTAAAAACATGATTTTAGTATTCTACCTAGTCTCATAGCATTAATACTTCAATGACTACAACGTGAATGTGTATAAGAAAAGGTTGATCAAAAAGAAATGGAAAAAAATAAATTTTATTTCTTGACGGCTCCGTGGCGTAGTAGCTTAGCAATGAGTTGCTGCCCTGGGGGCCGCGGGTTCGAATCCCGCACGGAACAAGTATTTGTATAGCCTGCACATAATTGCTCCGGGTCTGGATGTTTGTCCTTATGCAATTTATGTTTCTAAACTGCCTCCACGATACAGGAGAAAATCCTAGTGTAGGGGTAAAGATTTTTTTTTAAAAAGACTTGTGTTTCACAAACAATTTTCGGCTTGGTAGGACTCTATAAAGCGAAAAGTTTTTTCATTGGTCATCGTTACACTGCCGTTATGTAGAGATGCGTGCATATAAAATTTAAATCAGGTGCGTGCAATCACTCTGGG